AGAGCCGTAGCCAGAGTCAGGCCCCACATCATCCTACTGCAAGAGACGCTGCTAACGCCGACGCAGCCCCCGCCTCGCATCCAGGGCTACAACGTGGCGGCAAGGCAAGACCACGACCAGCCAGCGCCACCAACCCCCGCAAGCTCTGGCCGGCCAGTTTCTCCAGAGTCCCCAGCTCCTCCAACGCTGTCACCGATAGGTCCACCCAGTCGCGCGAGCCCGCCATGGAGCGACCCGCCTACACTGACGCCGATCGCAACAACTTCGGCCCTGGACCTGTCCACGGACACACCGGAGCCTCCGCTCCTCTCACCGATTCCGACGGCCTCACCTCGACGGACCCGCCGCGGGAGAGCCACGGCAACGCCGGTGACCCCGACCCGCCGCACTCGCGCCAGGAGACGCCGCCAAGCTGCGCCGGCCGCACCGGCGACATCACCCGGACGGGCCGCACCGGCGCCGGCGACAGCTCCGACCGGCAGAAGTGGAAGGGCCAGCCAGGGAGGCATCATCACCCTCATCAGAGATGACGTGCCCTACACAGCGAGACCGTCTCCATACCAACCGACACAACCCGATCTCAACACGTACTGTACGGCAACCACCATCCATGTCCGAGGTACGACCGACACCACCATCGTCAACCTATACATACCACCGGCAAGAAGGACGCCAGGACAAGGCACTCAACAGCAGATCTTTCAGCCAGACTGTCTCCAGACCAACGGACCTACCATCATCGGAGGAGATGTGAACGCGCACAACAACAGCTGGGACATCCACCAACCAGAAGACGCTGAAGGTCATGCGATCGAGGCGTGGGCGACAGAACGCGGGCTGACCATAGCCAACAGCGGGCAGCACACCCGTGTTAACCCAAGCACAGGTGGTCGGTCGACCCCGGACCTCACCCTCATCTCTGGCGACCTGGCTGGCGGAGCCGAATGGGAGACTGGACCTGGTCTGGGCTCTGACCACCTCCCGATCTACCTGACGCTGCCAACCATCAATCAACGACCCAAGAGGAAGGGACCGGGCCGCTTCCGGCAGCAGAAAGCAGACTGGGAGGCGTTCCGCCGGCATCTGGACACCGAGATCAGCAAGTGGCCAAGCCATGACGCCCCCCTCCACCAAGAGGAAAGCCGACTCACTGGGGCCATCATCACAGCCGCGAAGCGCAGCATCCCGTTCGGGAACGGGGGAGGAGGCAAGCCCCCCTTTTGGAACGAGTCGTGCCAAGAAGCGGTCGACCTACGCGAAGGAGCACAGTCCAGAGCTTCCGACCCGGACCACACGGCAGACGACATCACTGCCGCACGCGAAGCTCGACAGAACGCCACCAACACCATCAACAGAGAAAAAACAGCCTACGTCAACAGACAGCTGGAGGAGATGGGAGCTGACACCGACCTCTGGAGAACCATCAAGATCCTCGACGGCCGCGTCCCACCAGCAAAACCGGCCGTTCCCATACAACGACCACCGACAGCCGGCCAGACAGCACCGACCAAGGCGGCGGTGACAGACAGAGAGAAGGCCGACCTCTTCTGCCAGACCTACGCTGCCGTCTCGAGACTGCCCAAACGGAAGCAGGAAGACCATGCCATCAAACTCAGCTCACGCCGCGCCGGGAAGACCTGCGAGTGCGGCGACACCAAGGAAGGGTTCTGCTCTCCCTTCTCCCGCCGCGAGCTACAACACGCTCTCTCCAAGCTGAAGCCCGGAAAGAGCCCCGGCCCGGACATGGTGTCCAACGACATGCTCCGACAACTGAGCCCCACCGGCGAGACGGAGCTGCTCCGGGTCCTAAACCGTAGCTGGACCGAAGGCACGGTCCCCGCCAGCTGGCGCGCCGCAGAGATAGTCGCCACCATTCTTATGATAGGTGAGGAAGTTGTGTACCAGTCGGATGAAATTATTTCGGCGCTAGAGCAGCATTACCAGGAACTCTTTACGCAAAACACGGGCTACTCAAGGGATAGCATGACTGACTATCTACAAAGCGTTCCGCTGCCGAGACTATCGGATGCGCAATCTAGAATGGTAGAAAAGGACCTGACGATTAATGAAATAGGAGAGACTTTGATGGGGTTGAAAAACAACAGAACTCCAGGATCAGATGGTTTCCCTTACGAGTTTTTCAAGATTTTTTGGCGTGAGTTGAAATATTTTGTGCTTAGATCACTAAATGAAGGTATAAAAACGGGAAAGCTAACAATCACTCAGAGGGAAGGTATTATAACCTTGGTACCCAAGCCCACAAAGGAACGAAACTTGATCTCTAGTTGGAGACCTATAACTCTATTGAATTCAACGTATAAGATTCTTTCAGCAACAATTGCTAATAGGTTAAAAAAAGGTATTAAACACAATAATTCACCCAGATCAAACAGCATTTTTAAAAAATAGGTTTATAGGGGAGAATACAAGGATAGTTTATGACATTTTGAGAGACACTCATCGCAGAGAGGAAAGGGGACTTTTACTGTCAGTGGATTTTAAAACCGCGTTTGACGTGATGAGCTGGCAATTTATCGAGCAATGCCTGAACAAATTCAATTTTGGGAAAAAATTCATAGACATGTTCTTGTGTTTGCATAACGATATCTTCTCACGCCTGATATATAATGGACATGCGTCAAAAGGGGTGATACGGCTAGAAAGAGGATGTAGACAGGGCGATCCGATATCGTGCTATTTTTTTATTATAGGAGCGGAAGTGTTAGCCGCGAAAATAAGGCAGAACAAAGACATTACAGGAATCGTGACAAATAGTTCACACGTTAAGATAGTCCAATATGCGGATGATACGACATTCTTCCTCGATGGTTCGGAGAAAAGCCTAAGGGCTGTTTTCGGAGAGCTGGGATGGTATGCAAAATTTTCAGGATTACATCCTAACGTATCCAAGTCAAACGCCATGTGGCTAGGAAATATGGCCTTCTCAGACACGACAATCTGTCAAGATATTGCTCTGAACTGGGGAACAAGAATTAAACTGTTAGGAATAGTGTTTACGCCTTTCTGTTCAAACATAGTAGAACAAAATCTTACGTTGAAGAGAGATGCAATTCTTAGGATTATTGGAATGTGGCAAACCAGAAATCTTTCACTGATGGGCAAGATCACTATCTTTAAAACTCTGCTATTATCTCAAATCACGCACGTATTATACTCTCTCCCGAGTCCGAGTGACGACCTTATAGGTGAGCTAAATAAAATATTTTTCACGTTTGTATGGGGTTCTAAAAGAAATCCACTTAAGAGAGCGAGACTTTGCCAAACTGTTGAAAAAGGTGGCTTAGGCATGATTGATCTCAGCAGCTATATAATGTCTTTGAAGCTAGTTTGGATTAGGAGACTAGTTTCGGAAAAAAAAATGGAACATGGCATTCGCTTGTGCCGGAAGATATAAAGAAAGAATTCGTTTGGGATTATGGAGTCAGAGCATTAAAACAAGTTGTGGATAAAGTCGAGAACCCCTTCTGGAAGGATGTATTATCGGCTTGGATGATCTTCACAAAAGCATTTCATATAATGGAAGAACAAATACACTGCGAAAACATTTTCCACTCGGACTTTACTAAATTTAAAACAAAGGAATATGAAAGTTGGAAGAGAAAAGGTATACGACGTATTGGTGATCTTTTTGAAGGTCATAAATTAATGACATGGAGAAGATTTAAGGAGTTTTACCGCATCAATTGCAACTTTCTAGAGTACGTCGGACTGATACATAGTCTGCCAAGGCATCTACAGAAGAATCAGCCTGAAGTGTGGAAGTATGAACAGCCTTCAATATCAGCACGAATAAGGTATATTTTGAATAATAAGGCGTTCACTAATTTTTTTGCTGAAAGTTTGATGCAGAATAACGGGGGTAAGAAGGATATCAACAGAATAAAAAGTAAGTGGATACGAGATATGAATCATTACGAGCAGTTCTCGGTTCTGTCAGTAAAGCGTTGCGTTGTATCAACGAAATATGTAAGTTTTCAATATAGATTAGTGATGCGCGTGCTTACGACAAATACATTCTTGAGTTTGATAAACATAAAGGAAAATGACAAATGCTCCTTTTGTGGCATTGAAGCGGAATCATTGATTCATCTATTTCTCAATTGCGAAAATGTAGTAAGCTTTTGGAATAAAATATCGGAGAGCCTACAAAGGATTGGTATGAGCGAGATATCAAAGAAACAAAAAAATTTTGGGGACAACGATAATTTACTTATTACCCATATCACTACCTTGGCAAAATATTATATTTATCAATGTAAATGGGGCGAAACAAAGCCTAGTTTTGTTCAGTTCATGAACCGTTTGAAACAAGATATGGAAATTGAGCATTACATTGCTAAAAAGAATAACAAGGAGGAGTGTTTCCATAGGAAATGGGCTATGATGAGACCTTTGCAAAGGTAAAAGTGACTAATGAACATGAATCAGCCACCGCTCCTATGACCCATCCGGGCCAACCCGGGACCGGTCTCTTCGACTGGGGCCGGTCGGCCGGCCGGGCGTGCGGGGCGCCGGCCCTACAAGTCGACGGCTCGCACGCCCGGCCGGTGGATAGGGGGAGCCGCCCACGATACCGTTCGCCGGGCGGCTCGGGCGGTGGCTGATGGCCCTTTTGGGACTGTGTAAAATATGGATGTGAGCGGACTGTTTGAGCGTTCTGTTTGTCAAGTGGCTATGTTAATAAACGTTGAAAAAAAACAATGTTCTAGCCATTCCTACGCCCATGTTTATGTGGATGGTTTTATGTGTGTTTTAGGTGTATTTAGGTTTAAGATGTGTCTTTAACGCATATCAGTTGATGATATTAGTAATACATTTTATTTTGTGTTTTTTTATGGTAAGGTGCAAAGCAGCCAATTTTTGTGCGGTTTGACGTGGAAAGCCCCCGCAGACCCCAGTGGGGTGCGGGATGTGTTGGGCGGCAAGGCTGTGAAAAAAATTGCGGCCGTGCAGATAGCGGGTTCTATGTACATAGATACCTGGGTCCCATTCATGCTCTGTATCCTCTCGTATCGTTTCCATGGCCTTGTCGGTAGCGTGCACCACCTGGTGGAAGCGTGACACGGGATTGTCGAGTAGCGCCGTCACAGTGCACGCCATTGTGGACGCCGGGGAGCTCATCAGCGCCGCGCCGTGGCTGGACAAGCTCGCTTCACTCGCCACAGGCCTGGACAAGCTCACCACACTCCGAACGGCCTGGACAAGCTCGCTTCACTCGTCACAGGCCTGGACAAGCTCACTTCACTCGTCACAGGCCTGGACAAGCTCACCACACTCCGAACGGCCTGGACAAGCTCACTTCACTCGCCACAGGCCTGGACAAGCTCACCACACTCCGAACGGCCTGGACAAGCTCGCTTCACTCGTCACAGGCCTGGACAAGCTCACTTCACTCGCCACAGGCCTGGACAAGCTCACTTCACTCGTCACAGGCCTGGACAAGCTCACTTCACTCGCCACAGGCCTGGACAAGCTCACCACACACCGAAAGGCCTGGACACACTCACTACACTCGTACTCAGGCACTGTTTTTTTTTTCAGAGTGTCCGGCGGGACAGTTCCGACGGGACAGTTCTGGAGTCTCCGGCGGGACAGTTTCGACAGCACCGCCAGGCCGCGCTCACAGCAGTCCGATCGGCATGACGGCGCCCACAGTCTGATGGGGATGGCGGCCGGCAGCCGACGGTCGGCCGGCCCGGCGTCTGGCCACTGCACTGGCGGCCCACTGCAGCCGACGGGGACCACAGCCAAGGGCGACGACGTTCGGCGCAGCGGCGGTCAGTAGCCCACGCCGCTCAGCGGCCGCCACTACCGCACTTCGTCGGCAACAAGGTGTGCCACGCTGTGGCGGCAATTGGCTGATTAATGAGACGCTAGTGAGGCCAGGGTGCGGCTGGTGGCAGCCAGTGGCAGGGCCTCCAGCCGTGGGGTCGCGCACCGCGCACCGCCCGCCCTCTGCGGACCCATCCGGCCGGCATCGATCGGCGCCGGCCGGAGGCGGCACCCGCCCCAATCCGATGTGCGGCAGCCGGCCGCTCCGACGGTGGCACAGAGAAGACGGCTGATCTCCCCTGGCCGCCTGCCGCAGGCGACCAGCAATCGATGGTGATGACGAGCACAAACAATAAGCTGATCTTCAGCGCATGGGTAGGCGGCACCAGTCGCATTTCACTATCCCAACGGACCCACGTCTGCCGTGATCCCCCACTTTAGACAGGAGCGGAGTATTCTGGGAAGCGAACGGTTGGGGTTGAGGTCCCCAGACCTTGCCCTAAGATAAGATAAGATGTGTATTATATCATCGATCTACTTGACACAGCGGCCGTGTGGCTTTTCACAATGACGCGTCGTGAAGTAAAACATGTGCAATGAAGGGGAGCAAGTAAAGCATATAAAACAGAGACGGCCGCACGGCGCACGTCATGGCACAGATGGGGTATAATAAATGAGTGACTCGCAATATCAGGCTTGTGTCCTCTATTGGCCAGCGGATGCTCGTTGAATCGCCGCTTTCAGAGCGTGACGCGTAGTTTCTGGGATTTATACCTATGTTGTTCACAACTTTCACGCCTCGATAGCACAGCCGTCGTCGGCCAGCCTCTGTCCTAATTCGCGGTAGAGAGAGAGAGAGAGAGAGAGAGAGAGAGAGAGAGAGAGAGAGGAGAGAGAGAGAGAGAGAGAGAGAGAGAGAGAGAGAGAGAGAGAGAGAGACAGAGAGACAGAGAGACAGAGAGACAGAGAGACAGAGAGACAGAGAGAGAGAGAGAGAGAGAGAGAGAGAGAGAGAGAGAGAGAGAGAGAGAGAGAGAGAGAGAGAGAGAGAGAGAGAGAGAGAGAGAGAGAGAGAGAGAGAGAGAGAGAGAGAGAGAGAGAGAGAGAGACCCAGTAAACATGCCGACGTCGGCCCGACGTCGGCCGACGTCGGGGTGACGTCGGCATCTCGGCATCGGCATGCCGACGTCGGCCCGACGTCGCACAGTGGGGATTTTCCGATCTAGCACGTATTTATTCGTAGAGGGCAACCATATGTATAATTGTAGCCAGATTGTGCACAGAT